ATCTACGTCCACGGAAGGGAAATATATAGCAGTTATTCTGTAAGGAGCCATCTTCAAATGTGGACGAGCATAAATTATAAACCTTAATAATGTTCTTTTTTTAATAGATCTTGATTTTCTTAACTCTCCTCCCACCAAACGTGATTCATTATACATTTGACATGATATATATTATGCAAAACAACTATTTTATAGGGAAGCAAACTTATAATTTGATCTTCTTTTTTGTACTTTTAAAGTCTAAGTTGAGTCTGTACTGAGAATAAGGGACAAGCACAAGTCCTGAAGGAATGTAACGGTTGGGCTCATGTGGAGATGATCAAAAATTGCATGATCATGCCTCGTATCTTAAATCTTGATTTAATTATTGTATAGATTTGAGATCATGCATGCATATGTGGCGCTTGACTATTATTTTGCTTTTCTAATATATGTTACCAACCTCGCAACACTTGTCTTTGTTTTTTTTTTCTTTTTTGTTTTATTTACACCTTATAGTGTGTTGATTTCATTATTTATTTGTGCTTATGTTTTGTATGGACTCACACTTAGATATAGGTTTTTAAAATAAAATCTTTAATTCAAATATCTTATATTTTAAGAAAATTATCCTAATGAAATTTTGGCTTAAATTTTAAATTAGGAATGTGTTAAAAGTGATTTTGAATTGCATGGTTATTATCCAAGCCATAATTAATAATGCCCCGTTATTAGGGGTTTTATATAACTTTGCACCATAAGCATGTCTCCTTGAGAAGTATCGTTTCTTCTCCTATTAGACCGACACTACAAGTTTTATTTAATTAGGTTGTCATTTAGTATGCTTAGGATGTTAAGAGGCTTTTCAAACCCAGACGAGTATATATTTCCTTTATGAGGTGGTGTGGCTTTATGAGCCAAATCATCAATTCTTTTCACTATGTAGGTTTTTAGTCATATTATCGGCAAGTATAGACCATATTCTTAACCTTTTCTTTTGGGATAGAGTCATGGGATCTTAGGTATTTCTTTCTTGTGACTTTAAGTTTATTGAAGTACCATGGATAATGCAACATGTGATGTTGAAAAGCAGATCTTTGTCATGTTGAGTCGACTACCTTAATGACTAAGCAGGCTTAGGGTCTTATTAATCCAAGATAATTGATCCATATAATCATGACTAGACTATTTCTATCTGTCTAGGAATTCCTTGCCTACCCATTGAAATACCCCATTTGGGTCTCTACCATATTCCTTTGATATATTTTATGGTCATTTCATAGGCCTTCTTTTGTTGAGAGATAAGTATCTATTAGGTTACTTTAAACACCATCTACCAGCCTAAGTTGGCCTTGATAGTAGGAGGTTTCCTCTATTAAAATGACAAAATTCTCCTTGATGTCTTATTGTTATGGTTTATATATGCAAACATACCATATTTATCAAGAGTCTTCTTGAGTAATCTCTATGATGTAATTGAATACAGGTATATGTTGCCATGAGAGGTCTTTTTGAACCTAAAATAAAAAATAAATAAATAAAAATTTTTCTCTAGTTTGTATGTGAAGGCCATTGCAGTCCTCTTTTTTTTTGTATATTTGTTCGAGTTAAGCATAATCTCTTTACTCTGGATTGTTCCACTCCAACTTATATTGCGAGGATTGTATTATGAGACAACTTCATACCTATCCATTTGTCCTTCTTTATACTTATCTAATTTATTTATTTCCTCCTCTCACTTTGTTTCTATACCATAACAAAAGTTTGTTTCAAAAAAAGAAACTAATAGAGGCAAATATGAGAAAATTAACAAAAGCAGCACAGCACACCAGATTCTCCATACTGCTGCAATGACCCGGAGTAAACCAGTATCTACTCCTTTTTCCCTCCAAAGTATAATTACCATTCACTTCGGGTTGTCCATTAGCTGACCCAGTGGAATACAAGTAGCTCACAGGATCATCACAATACCTCACTATCTCTATACTAGAAAATTTCATTCGCACACAACTAACTCTGCCGACACATACACAGTTCATCCACCTATCTCTTCTAGTTAGTTGAAAGACTCCTCTGTTGTCTACAAGGTAACAAAAATTTTGGTCTTCGTACCACTCTATGCAATCTAATTCTTCATACCAAGTTAGATTTTAATTAGGTTAGTGATTGTGATAAGCCTATTTCTTGGATGGCTAACAGGTAACATGTAGAAGCTTGCTCCTCTATAAAAGAAAAAGACCATGCACTTGTAGTGACTGTCTCATATATATTATGGCTATGCCATCTTCTCAACAAATTTGGAATTGCCCCCTTATTAAACCACCAAACTAAGTGTTGTGAGATATGTACTTCCTGACATAGAAATGAGACAAAAAAGGAACACAAGCAAACACAGATCGTTTACGTGGTTCGATCCAACTGGATCTACGTCCACGGAAGGGAATCAATCAAATAGTTCACTAAGGCAAAAGAAATGGAGAATACATAGCTTATACATAAAGATGAGCCCTCATCTTCCTTCGATGGCCTCCCTCTCAAGCGACACCTTGATACAAGGCCTCAAGATGCTCTCCTCCTCTCTAACTCTATAGCTATTCTCTCCTCCTTTGTGGTAGCTTAAGATCTCTTCTTCCTTTCCTCTCCTAAGCCTCACACCCTTAAGATTTCTTCCCTTATGCATATAAAACTAAAAAAAAATTGTCAAAATGGTTCCTTGAGTCTTTGATTGGAGCCATTTTAGTCTTCATATTCTATAAGAATGTCAATTTAATCACCAAACTATTGAAATAAGGACTGAAATAGTCCTCACCCTTCCTGAACGAGTTTGGAGACTAAATTGCCCCTTTGTAAAATTTAGGAGTAAAATGTCCTAATGTAAATAATCAGGAGACTTTTTTGACACTTTACTTAACAAGATAAACTGCATACATGATTGAAGGTTCATACCTTGCCAGATGCTTTCTCAAAAGCAGCAACCATTTCAAAGACAGAGGTTCCACGTCCAGTACCCAAATTATAGGCAATACAACCTGCAAGAAACAAAGCATAAATGCCACTATAATGATGCTGAAATTATCACAAAAATGGGAAAGAAACAAAGGAGAGAGAACAGGAAAGGATTACCAATGTTCTCTGTGATGAAAAGCTTTTTAAGAGCTGCAATATGACCATCAGCCACATCCATTACATGAATGTAGTCCCGAATCTGATTAACACCATGAATGAAGTTCTAATAAACTCAGTAGTTCAACATTCTGTTTTAACCAAAGTCAATAAGACAAACTTATGAAGAAACAAAGATTAAGATACTATTCTTAAAAAAACATTTATTATAATATTTAACTTATTTAGTCAAATCTAATTTGTGCCTTATATTCTATTAATCATCAAAGATGAGCTTTAAGCAGAATCAAGAATAAATTTGGATCCTCTACAGAGTTTCGTGTCGTCAGCTTTTCTACTCATTTAAGCTATTTTCATGGCCAATAAAGGACCAGAATCCAGAGTTCTTACGTGCCTCTTAAGGATTAAAGTGCGTAAGATTCATATTAAAAGAAGTTGAACAAGAAAATACAATACAAAACCCTTCTCTTTAATCCTAATAATTGGCAATTCGAGGATGTTGGTAACTCCGAAAGTTAGGTGGGTGAGAATCAGGAAAGAGAAACTCAAATTTGAGAGGGTAAATGACAATTTGAGAATGTTGACACCTCTTGAAATCAGGAGAAGAGGGAGAAGAATAAAACACAACAAAGTGAGAAACACCGCATTATTTTTTCCATTCCATTCATTGTCTCCACTAGGAGTTATTTTTAGAATACAATACTACTAATCATCATTAAAAAAACTCATTAGCAAAGTTTATTAAGCTAATAAAAAGACTAATCAATATTGTATCCTATCAAAAAAAATCTAATTATAACACTCTTAACATCCACATCATAGCAATTATAACTCGAACAATCCCTCATAGATTTAACAACAAACATCACCCCACAAAACACCTGAAGAAAAAATCTAAGAAAATACAACAAAGGGTTGATGAGAATTTACCGCGCTGCCGTCATCCGTTGGATAATCATAGCCATAAACGTTGAGCTCAGGCAACCTGCCCACAGCAACTTGTTGAATGTAAGGCATGAGATTATTAGGAATACCCTTAGGATCTTCCCCAATCTGGCCACTTTCATGAGCTGCAACTGGGTTGAAGTATCTCAATAATATAATTCTCCATTCTGAATCGGCCTTTTGAATATCACGAGCTATCTTCTCAAGGAAGAGCTGATGCACAAAAATTGCAAGGAAACCTATAAGGCAAAATGAACTCACACCATTGCAATAGTTATCAGCTTAAAATGAAAGAAGTTTGTGAAACAGTCATATGCATGCCTTAGTTCGACCGTAAGGGTTCATTGCATTCAGCTCAGTTTCTTCGACGCATGGAAACTTTACAGGTTGTCCATAAACAGTAGCAGAGGAGGAGAAGACCATCTAGTTTTGAGAGATTAAAATATCATATACATGCCCAGTGGTAAGTAATAAGCAAAAGAAACATTTTTAGAGATGATAATTAGTAATAACTAACTCATAGCAAAAAAAAGACAGGATAGTTAATGTTATAGAAAGTATTAAATCTAATTGTTGTAAATTAAAATGTGTGTATATTAGGAAGATTGATATTAGATGATCTAATTAGAGAAGATCGAATAATATGAACTTTTCTTTATTATGAAACTTAAATAGAGGAGATCTAATTACCTGAACTTTCCTATATTTAAAATATTTCTAATTTGTATGTCCTAATCTTCTCTTATTTATATGAGAAATTATGAAGGATTTGAGATGTATGTTTCATGAGATATTCTAGGTTGAAGGAGGAGGTGACAGAAAAGAAGCAAGCAGCTTTTTCATATTTCCTTAATCAGTAAGGGTACTCTTTTGTACAGTAGGTAATCTGCATAGAAACATTTGTAAGTAGATTTGTTATAATATGTGTGGTGAGATGTATTCTCGTAGGAATGGACGGTGCTGCTTTTCCTGGGCTTGAAGTGCGATAGAGCTGCTGCTGTCTAAGGAGGTAGTGGAGCAGAGGTTGTTACACCCCCCTTCAAGCTGATGGTTTTGGTCAGAAGTGTCAGCTTGGTATTTAGGTACTGAGATCTTGAGTTAGAGAGAGCCTTCGTAAATATGTCGGCGAGCTGATCTTGAGCGGTAGGTGAGGTGTGGTAGGTGGCGGTGCCACATTACAAAATTGCCCTTTTACCTTAGTTCATTAATTGGGGGTCAAAATAACACTAAGTTATGATAATATCTCATCAATGGAGCTTGCTAACAATCATGTGTTACTTGGACTCACCAAACATAATGATTGATTGTCATTTTATTCAATATCATATGTTCAAGCATTTTCAGACTCACTATATTATCATTTAGGATCAGTGTCCAGATCTTCTAACAAAAACACCAGCAAAATTGTGTTTTAACATTTTTTGTTCCAAGATGAATGTTCTTTCTAGACTCATCACTTTACCGAAACATAATAGCTATACTTAAGCTGTTGCGCCGAATGCAACAAACTCTACGTATCACAATCATAGGAATACAACCAACTCATTTGAACCATCGGGATGAGAACTGAATTTATCCTCCTCCTAGCCCCATGTCCTTAAATACACTTCTGTAGTTTCTACACCTCTATGTTGTTGGTTCGTGGATTCTTCAAATATAATTCCTAAACTTTCATTAAAATCACACATGGCATAAATTTCTTACTTAAAAAATAATCCTTTCTAAAGTATTTTTATTTTTATTAATGCATTTCAAATGAATAAAAAAAATATATATTTATCATTAAAATAGAAGAAAAATGTATTGAACTTCCCTAAACAAAATATAAATAAAAAATAGAACTGCTCTAAACAAGAAACAAAATATAAATAAAAAATAGAACTGCTCTAAAGACAAAGTGAATTAACAAATTACAGCTGTTCGGCATTGCCAATGCTACATACATATATATATATAAATAGACACACACACACACACACCAGGTTATAAAATGGCCGGCGAAGCATAAATATACGGGCATGTCGACGTCTGCTTATTAGACGGCCGGCAAAGCATGGAAACTTCGGGCAAGTGGAGGCAATAAAGACCCCACGCCGGCATATACAATTTGGGAGTAGTCTTAAATTTCTATCTTTTGTGAGCATTAAGCTGATGGCAAGCTATTTTATTTATTTATTTATTTGTTTTGCATTAGGACATATTATTATCAAGTCTAAATGAATAGAGGAGGATTTACATACATACCACTCAAATCTTATGTATTTATATACATAACATCAACACTTCACTTTTTTACATACATACCACTATATCTATGCGTCAAAATGTGTATTTCACCTTTTAAAAATTAACGGCATCAAAATTTTGGAGGTATCAATGTAAAAGACTAAGTTTATGGGTTAGATTTGTAAATACAAATTAATTTTCTAGTCTACATTGGCTCCAAAAATAATTTCATAAAGATTTGAGAAGGCTTTGACGAGTTTTTAATTTTCTTTCAAACTCATTTAAATCACTTAACAAATACTTTAAGCTAATGGTCCGTTTGACACAGCGATGCGACACGACACTGCTATTTTGGTCGTTTGGGTAAACATTTTGGCAGCTTTTTCAAAAAACTGTTGCTCAAACCAGCATTTTCCCACCGTTCCTGTCTATGTGCGGTGGGAGCTTTCTAACTGCGGTTTAACTTTTTCAGGAAAAAAATTTGAAAATGGCCACCGCAACTTTTTGCAATATCAGATTATTCTTCAACCTTAAATGAAGCCTAAGACATAAATATGCTAAAGCCCATTCTAAGCCCAAGGACTCCTAAGAGGCCTTGAGAGGACTCCTAAGAGGCCTTGAGAATAAGAAAGTGAACACCTAACTTAAATTAAAATCAATTAAAATCAATCAAAATTAAATGAATTCAAATTAATATGAAGAAATCCAACTAAGTCAATAAGCCTTAAGTTAAACTCAAACAAAATTTTAATCTCTAATCAACTTGCTTAACCTTGAACCTCCTTATTCATCTTACATATAGCAACTCATTTGAGTAGGAAGTGAATTTAAAGAGGCTTGTACGTCGACCTTGAACAAACCAAGGTCAAACTTGATCAAACTTTGGTTAAAGTTAGGCCAAAATCAAGCTAACTCATGCCAAGCTAAATCTAAATTCAAATATATAAATAAAAAATTAAAAAAAACAAATCTAAATTCAAAGGAAAATCAATCCAATAATCAATCTAAGTTCATTTAAAGCCAAATTAGTCTTAACTTTGGGTCAAATCAAACTCTAAATTAAAGCTCAAAATAATTAACTCAACCAATTAAATTAAAAATAAATCAAATTAACTCACTTTTGATTCTTAGAGTGGTGTGCTACACTTTTTCAAGTATGGTACTTACACTACTAGGATTAGGGAGTTACGAGTGTTGAGACTCCCTGTTGAGGTGGGTCGTACCATTCACGACACTCTTTATAACATAAAACTAAAGTCGAATTCAAATCAAATAAAAAACATAACTTGTGGATAAAAAAAAACCAACTTGAACTCAAACCATATAATGGTAAAAACTAAATACATAACACTCAAACAAACAAAATGGTGAGTCTGGACCCATCTCATGTTTTGACAGCTCGTTAGTCCACCAACTTAGGCCTTGGTTAGTGTGATGGAGATTGTGATGGTTATGTGGATTGGTTTGCTCTTATAATTGTGCTCTTTACTGTTGTAGATGGATTTAGGATGGTTGCCGTTTACTTCTAGCCTAAAATTGTTTTGTGTAGGTGATCGTACTAAATATGAAAAGAGGAAGCATGAAACTAAATTAAATCAAACTAATAAATATTCTACAGATGCTTGCTCTTTTTTCTTACAGGAAATTTCTGTCTTTCATACATGATTGGCTTATAATTAACTTTCCATGCATCACAACCTTTGGTGCATTTACACTTTATGATCGAATTGTAAGTCCCAACACAATTTTTAAAATTATAACGATCAAACAATCTTAATGTGCATGTGACCAACATCTTTATTCTAAAGTATAGAAAACATTAACTAGCAACGCTTTTCAGACATGTTATAAGATTAGAAGAGTTAAGTGAGGCTTCATTCCTCAGTGAGAGTGAAATACATAAATATCACTTATTAAACTAAGTTCAAGCTCCCTATCGTTGCCTTGTTTAAGGTTTTGAGGCAATCTCTTTAGCTTTACCATATGAAATATTCTCTTAAAGACTTTTTCACTGCTCGTTTCATCGGAATTTAAGGAATATAGCAAATCAAACAAAAAAATGTCAATTTCAAATTGTAAATTATAAAGTCCAACCGAAAGATGGATTGGAGCACAAGTGGGCCTCTCAATATCTAGAGTTCACTACTCCTCATATGTTAGCTTCTATCAAAAACTATTTCAAGTTTGAGTCAATTCATTTTCAAATTCTAAAAAACTTTATTGAATTTTATCTTTGAGATCTATAAAAACTTTAGCCACTATTTTAATCTAGAGTTTTTATAGGAGATTAACTCCTTATAGAATATAATTAATTAAAGAGAATAGCCTCTTTAGAGATACCAGACCCCGTATTAATATAAATTCTATCATATCATTTTGGGGGAGGGAAAAACTTCTCGTACACAAAAAAAAAATCACTTTATGATTGAATCAAATATACAGTAGTATTTTGATCTCTCGAGGTGATATATCATTCATGATGTTTTATTCAAATTCAAGTAAGAAAGTTTAAAAGTATGTGCATAGCCTGCACACTCTATCTCTCGATAGATGTACCCCAAACACACAGCCACAACCGTCAATATCTCCTCCACATTCTTCTCATTTTGGTGATCGCCTCTAAGTTGGGATAGACGGTTCACCCTCCACATGTATAGTATCATGAAAGCTAGACTTCTAGTGTTTCTCTTAGTAAAAGGATCCTTGTGCCGCAAACATGAAAATCTCATCAAGCATATTATCATCATTAATATCAAAATAAACCTGAGATGAAGAATCATTTCTACCAAATGGCTTAAAGGCGTCAAACCCATTAGAAAATGGAGATTCACCCTCTTCCCAATCGCTTAATTTATCTTTAGAGTATGATGTATCCCCTATTGGAATGACAATATTATTTCTTTAATATGACCAATGATGAGATTTCATAATGCAAGAAGAGTTCTTTTAATTGAGACTATTTTTTAGTATCCCAAAGATATCATTAATCAAAAGAACACATTCATTTAGGAGTTACTCCCGAACCTAAAATAAAAATAAATTTGATTCTCTGGTTATGAACACATCACATTTTTTGTATCTATTAAAAATAATTGATGCTTGTGTTGGGATACTAAAAAATACTGAAAAAGAAATTACATTCATGTAAATATACACAAGCATAAATTTTATAAGTTCTTTTCTATGAATTTAAATAG